TATATATATATATATATATATATATAACTAAAGCAACAACCAAAATTTAATATGCTATAATCTTTATTATATATGTTATAAAACGGCTTTTATTCAAAAAGACCTCCTACAAAGTACTTTTTAGAATAAGATATTTTGCTAGCTTTCTACAACATGGTTGTCGTTAAATTGTTAATTATGTGATTTGTATTAAAAGACGATGTTCCTTTAGGTTTGAAGGGGAGAAAAGATGTCTCAAATCATTATAGATATTGGCAAGAAATTAGGTAAAGAAAATCTATGCCCGTAGACTGCTTGTTACTTGGAAGACAAAACGGTCGAGTCTTCTTCGACAGTTAAATTTAGCGATACATTTTAATTGAAGATAGAGAAAACAAAATCAAGAGTTGGCATCACTTCTATCCCCAACTGTAGATGAAATACGAGATAAATGACATAATTACTCGTATGAAAGGTATATTTGAAAAGTTAAATTAGAAACGCGAGCAAATATTTTATACTCAAGTTTACAAAGACAACTGTTGTAGTTTTATTTTATTCTCCGAAATTGGCAATTGGCCCTTGATGGATGCAAGAGTCGGAGAGTGTTGGAAATGATGGGGACGAAAGAAAATGAATATGATAATAATTGCATTGGTTGGCAATTTGTTTCCATTAAAGGAAAGATTCCTATGGGGGTGTGGACCGGTTCGTTTATTCTCTTATTTCTAAGAGTCAAAACAGTGTGAGCATGTGATTGGTTCGAAACTCACTCCGGTAAACGTGTGCATCAACCTTCATGTGCGCGATCATACAACTTTCAATCACCCATTGGTTGGTTAATTATAGACTTAGCATCGTTAGGCTCGAATATAATTATGAATTAAACTAAGATAGTAAAATAAAGTTAAGTGTACACGGAAATGATCTCATAAATATCGATACTTAACTTATATTAAGTATCGGTGATATGACACACCATTTAATTAGTGATCAATCATGTTTGAACATATAGCATAATTCCAAATAGTATCAGAGTTCAAAAAATTTGGAATGAATAATTCTAACGAGTAATTATCTTTCGACTTTCAATCAAACACCAAGAAAAAAGCATTTAAATTACTTGAAAATAATAATAATAATAATTTGGACTATCATTACCGACGAAGTTAATGTTTTACATCGAAACTTCAAGATTTATACTGCCAAATACATTTATAAAAAATATTGTATCTCAGTAGGATTTTTTTGGAAGATAAATTAATTTAGAGGATGTGATCATTTGTCAAATATATTTATTCAAACATTGGTAGGTTAAACGGTCATATGTATCTATATTGTTGATGAGTATGGAATCATCACATTGGAGGACCCACTAATGATCATTAACGAGCTCAGGCCCAATTATGATCCGGGCCGGATACTTTTTGGAGATTCAACTACTATATTCCACTTTGCATTCGTCATGCTTACCCATTATGACAAGAATTAAAATAAATTGGTGAATGACAAGTGTAATGTTTGATACATATTCTTCAAGCCTCATTTTTTTAAAAAAAAACAAAATACATTCTTAAACAATATTTTGACACATTTTAATCACGTATTCTTTAATAAATAATATTACACGTAAATTATAAAATAATGTTACACGTAAATTCAAAATTTTTCCTTATTTTTTAACTACACATTACTCATCAATATACTATTCAAAAATGCATTCTTTTCAAAAGAATGGGCTTAAACAATTATTTTCAAATTCATTTTTAACGCACATTCTTCCAATAAAATAATTTTGCATGTGAGCTCATAACTTTTTCTTCTTTTTAAGCTACACATTCTCCAACAAAATCAATTTTCACAATATCTATTTTAAAACAATCTACATCAAACAAGCATATATAGGGTAATATGAAGCTCCATACGTACCACGAAAAGAAGAAGAAGAAGAAGAAGAAGAAATACATTGACAACTCTAGATATAGATTTTCTCATATTTATAAATACATAAGTGACAAACATGAGATCAACGATCATAAATGACTAGTAGTAAACAAATTTAAAATATTAACAATTTGTTCAATATGACGGACCAAATATATCACACATACAATCCATGATAAACAACTAAGTATAAGCAAAAGAATTAGGCTCCTTCTTTAGGCTTCATCACCTCTATTGTTTGGCGAATGAAAACCTTTTGGAATGTACAAACTTGAAGCTTTGGGCTCTCAACATTTGGGTAGATCATTAGGTGGTGGTAGGAGAGATTCATTGGGCCCATTACCATTATCCACTAAGAATGCCATCTTCAGTCCCCATGTAGTGTGCACTTCTAAATGGCAATGCATAAACCAGACTCCTAAACATTCAAAAAGCAGAATTAATTCTTCAAATGGAATAGAATAAGCTAGTGCATGTTAAAGCACTGGTGCCAAAATGGTAGGATTGGCAATCGGAGGGGCGGGCTCAGCGCCCATACCTACCCCGTTACCTATTTAAGGCAGGATGGGGCAAGGCGAGACGATTGTCCCATTTACATACCTCGGGGTGAAAAATTTTGCCCTGTACCCAAACGGATTATCCGATTAAACAGTAATCCCCACCCCATTCGGGGGAGAGGTAATGGTATCGAGTTTGAAGGGAGTTTTTGTCATCCCTACAAAATGGAAAGCCATTTATGTTTTGAGTGGCTTAACTCTAAAAAAGACTACAATTGGGCTGGACTGTAAATGTCCATCCATCTTGAGACAGGCTACGGGCCACAAAAAAAGTGGTAGATCGAAACAGGCCCTAATGATAGTTTTAGGTCAAAATGGATGGGTTGAGTTGGAACTTGCCACCGACAAGTAGGCCCAATTCAGAACCGTTGTAGGTTTGAATCACACGTCTATTTATCTTATTTGGCAGCTCAACCTGTAAACCGACTCGAAGTGAGTCAGATTGGTTCGACTAGATTTTCAAAAGAATAGGTCATCTCAAACTTAAACGGCCCAGCCTATTTTCACACACACTTCGAAAAAAATAAAATATTAGAGGCCTTGAAATTTTCATTTCTAATTTCCAAGCATTCAAATTTAAGCATTTTATCCTTTGTTTCACAGCTATTATTTGAACTCTTTTTTCTATGTACTCATTTTTAATCATACATTCGCATAATAAAATATTCCGTTGTTAAACTTAAAATATTTTTCTACTTTTTAATCACATATTCTTTCAAAAATCAGTATTCAAAACATTGCTATTTCCAAATAATGATTGGGCTTACTATGTGCACCAAAAAAAGAAAAGTGTGGAGAATGTTACTGGAACTGCTAAAATACCTGGATTGTCAGCAGTGAATCTGATAGCCACCCACCCTCCAGAGGGTACTTGTACTGTATTCCTCTCCACAGGATCAACGAGGTTGAATTTCTTGGAATCTTCGTCAGGGTTGAAATTTCCTGAACC